ATGCTACCCAGGTTTTTTTCCCCGTCGAAAAATGACAGGCCGCAAGGGATTAGCAAAAGAACTACAGTACCGTAACTAGTCAACATTACTAGCAGACCATTTATCACTCACATAGAATGGAAATCACATATTCTATTTGTTTTGGGATCATTGTAGCTGTTCCCAAAGCACGAGATAATGAACAGACGGTATTCATTTATTTGTCAACTAACCAGACAATTAATTCGTTCAGTTTTTTTTGGGACGGTATTAGATTGGAGTTTTAGACTTGAACTGGAAAACGCTCTATTGAACTACAAAAAAAAATAACTCACGGTAGGGTTTTTTATCAAGTGCATGAAACCCCACATTACAGTAATTGCCGTTGTTTCGTGACCAGCAATCCATAAGTCAAAAACATCGTACAGTAGCTCGTCTTCTCTGAACCGGATTCCATTAATTGCTGACGGTTATTTTTCCCCAAAATCGGTCTTGCTCCCCGGCGATCGCCGGGTCTTGGTAAGGTCCCTACCTACCTAGATCACTCCAGCTTCGCCGCAAAAGTTGAGCGGTTAGGGCGCTAACCTTTACGGGCGCGAACGGCGTGATCTCTCGCGTGTTTTGTCTTCTTTGACCGCCCTGCCTCGCCATCGTTCCACATCCGACCTTTTTGAAGGTTAAGGCCTTAATTTCAGCGATCCCAAAGATTTCTCTAGCTTTCCTTTCCACTTTCAGGCCGTCCCGCAGCTCAGTCATCACTACGAAGCGCTCTTATCACCGGTTTATCCCGGGGCTTGCCTTTAACTAAAACATCGTAACCACTGCCTTCATGGAAGAAGCTGCTACCAGCCAAAGCCGAGTTTTTGAACCGAGCGACAAGGTATATATGATATCACTACTTGTATGCTTGCGTAGGATGTCGACCTTCTCTTCGATCTTTTTCCATCTTTATCAGAAAAGCGTCAACAAAATCATCACCGTCTCCATGTAGAGAATGCCTGCCGGATGCGATGTCTTCCTTTCTGTAACAAAGGAGAACCAATCAGACCATTTGAATCGTACTTGTTCTGACTATAGTAATAGGTAAACACACCTCTGATCTAGTCTTTTCTGAAGAAACTCCACAAGTTTTTCTTGAGGTTCGATGAGCTTTCTCCACTTGTACTTAAGTATTGGTAAGTTGAGCGTCCACTTTTCCAGCGACATACCAAAAGCTGTCAATCCCATAATTTCTTTATCCACCAGATGTTTCACTTCGAAAAATTCGGCAGTACTCTCCTGAAAGTATCTCTTGAAAATGTCTTCAAAACGAATGGCGAGGGGTGAAAGGGGTGGCGTCAGGAGGGAGGAGGATGTTCGAGGTTCGGATTCGGCTAGAGCCAATAATGCTTTACTTCCTTCACGTGTTGTGTAACAGGCAGCAGACTGTGCTAGAAGGGAACTTGTCTTCCACTTCAGCGCTTCCTCTGCAGCTCACTCTGTAGGCTACATATTCATTTAAATGTCCCTACGATCTCACATGTAAGCCGAATGATTGGTGCCGTGTTAGAACACTTGGGTGCGGGGGGGGGGGGGGAGGAAAGGGGAAGGGGAAGGAAATGACAAAGGCGACAAAGGCATCAATATGCGGAATGGATCAGGAGGGAAGGGTGAGCCTCGGGGAGAGTGAGAATGGCTTACTCATCCGCTCCCCTAGTGCCAGTTAAAATTTGAACAGGGCGGGACAGGAGCTAATTGCTGGGCGTCCTTGGCTCTCCGCATCCTCCTCCCACTAAGTACTCAGCGCCATTGGCACATTGCATTGACCACTTTCCGTTTTTCTTCAGTAACTAACGATATACGAAAGACGAACGTGTATCGTCGGTGAGTCGAATCTCGAATCGAATGCTGAACCCAAACACCCATCCATGCTTCCGGTATCACTTAGTTGGCAGTTGAGCTGTATAAGAAGACAAAAACAGGCTTGTTCATTGAGCGCCTCACCCTCACTGTTCAGGCTGAATCGCATTCAAATTCCACAACGACTCTGAGTAGAGAAAGAATGCGTGGTGCATCTCAGAATAGGATAGATCAAGCCATGCTTCGTTCTTTCTATTCGCTCATTTGAAGACACCTTATTTTGATGCGAGGTATGAATAAATTGTTTCAGCGGCTGATCGATACTTTTCGAATGAGAGCCATGCTTTCGAATTCCATTCATCTATGTCGAGAAATTAGAATGAGTAGTAGTATACCCATGTGACAAATTGTTATTAGAATAGTCACTTTTGCTGCATTTATCTCTTCAGAAAAATCTTGTATCAAATAATGAACCAGCGCCAAATAAATGAAGCGTATCCGTGTACCCTGAATGGTGTTTGATACAGAGTACCGGGAGTTGATCAACAGGCGCGCGCTTTCCTACTTTCGTAATTTCCACATAGTTCTGGCCTTTTTTACTTGACAGCTCACAGGAGCAATCCAAACGCGAAAAATCCGCAAAGAGGTTGAAAATCTCAGCAAAAATACCTGAATCTTTTTATTTATTTATTTCCTATTACCCCTTTCGAAGATTCTTCGTCATACAAACTACAACCTCCTTATTCCTCCTCCTCCTTCCACCAATCCGAGGGCCATCAGGACCTCAATGTTGAGCTTCTGTGATCTTTCTGTTTTCCGATTTTTCGAGTGGTAAACGTACTTTCGTGAAACGTTCAGAAAAGATGATTCGATTGATGACGCTGCCAATAAGGACATCGAAAAATTCTCCGGCATTTATCTTCGTCTCTCCATCCACCATAGTTTCTTCCAGTTTGGCGAAACTAAACTTCCAAACTAGAAAATTTCTACCACTTCTTTCAGAATAATCGAAAAATGCACTAACTTGTACTGAACCTCGTCCATGATTCTCTCCTCCATGATGCTGTTCTTCAGTGCAAAATCGCGTAGGGTTCGTAAAAGTGAAACGACGATGATCAGCCCAAAAATCGCCGCTCGAGAATACCGTACCTCGTCCTTCTGCAAGCCTTACTAATGAAGTAAACGATGGTTGAAACTAAATCGAATAACAATGTTATATGAAAAGTATAAATACATACCAAAATAAAAAATAGTAAAAATGTAGCAAAAACATGTATTCAAAAAATTTATTGAAATATTTAATAACTTGTATAAAAAACATAAAAAATACAATAATAAATTGGTGTACCTCGCTTCACGTCAAGAGCATACGGTGTGTATCGGTCCACATAAGCGGCGCCGTTGACGACGATCATTTCTCTCTTTAGCTGTCTCGAAGTCCAAAATATGAACTGTTGGTATTGGTCCGAACCAGAATGTGATGACGTTACCGTACTCCTTAACGATAACACGATTTGTTACTAGCCTCCTGTTGCCTTTTTCCATCTTCCCTTTGACCCAGAAATTGAACTTCTCCACTCCTCAATCTTCACTGTGGCAGCATAGCTGTGACAAAAAGTTCTCTTTCAATTCCCAACCTCTGACTCTTTACTTCAGCGCTCCCAGCTAGGATCAATGAAGTCGAATTTAGCCTACAGGAGATCGTATTTCAAATTTTTTTGTATTGTTGTGGAGGTGCTTAGGGGGTCGTATTTTAGAATAGGAGACCTATTTAAAGTTTTCAGCTATTACAACTGTGGTGGGAAGGTCCAATTTAAGAATCTCAGAGGTGTCATGGTGATGGCATTCGGGAGGTCGTGGTGTGTGAATTAGAGGGGGTGGGGCTTTTGAGGTTTTTCCTAACAATTTCGCAGCAAGTGACCCATTTCAAAAGTTATATAAATTTTGGGCGGAGTTGCAGTGTGCCAACTGGTCTCAACATTAACTACTGGAAGCTGTAGCTATGGTAGTAAAGAGCGGTGCTAGGAGCGGGGACGGGGCTCACATGGGGGACAAAGGGCTTACGCACTACTTGAACTTTCTTCTCTGGCCCTACCACGAATGGTGAACAGCAGAGACGATTAGAGAATGCGCCTAGATCGGCTCTAAATCTCAACAAGGTGGGAGACCAAGACTGAGTCTTCTAGGGAGGAAGGGTTCCGAGGTGGGTGAGCCAACTACAGGCAAAAGTTTGAATGTGTGGGTTATTGTGGTCATGAGCCAGCTGATAAGGCGAGAGAGCCAGACGAGAGGGTGAATTGAGGCAGCTTACAGGACCGAGTTCAAGTAGTCCGTCGACCGGGGCCAAGGCGCGGGAATCCTGTCGGGTCCTGATGAATTTTGAGTCAGCACAAGGCCACGATTGTGGCCACTCTCAAATACACTGGACTGCGCAACGAGTTGTTGGATTTGCTATTTCTCTATATCAGTTACATTCTCTATATCGTGCTCGCAGATGGAAGAAGAACGTATTTTATTACCTGATTTGGCTATATCTGGTTAATCTAATAAACTTAATCATTATAAATTTTGAACAGATCAACATACCTTCTGCCATTCTTTCATCAGCTCAACGATGCCTCCATATTTGATGTTTCCGATGATTATATGGTGGAGGTTTCCTATCAGTGGTAGAGGAAACGGCCCTTAAATGTGAGTGTATGTAGAATGTTATAAAACTTGGTTGATGAAAGGATGAAAACAAGAAAACACAAGAGAATCGATTCTGATCGCAAGGGCTCACAGAGGTGCCTGAATAATTGGAAAAGATTGAAAAATTAAGTTCACAGTTGATGAAGTGAATAACCAACTACCGGCAATATTTACCCTTTGCTGCCTCCTTTTTTGGGAAAAGAGCTGAATTTTATCGGAATTTGCATTGCGGCAGCTTTGGCTAGAAATTTGCTCTCGAAACTGACCTAATGGGCAGAAAACGAACATCGCATTTGTCTAGCGAAAGACGCCTTGCAACCGTGCCTCTGGAATCGGCGCCAGTAGGCGCTGAGTGAGCAGACTCTCCGAAAGTTCACCCCCTGATGACTCTAGCGCCGAACGAATGCGATATTCGTATTCTACGCGGTCCTCGAGAGCAAATTTCAAGACAAATTCATGTCCTAAGAGAAATTTCGAAAAAAATTCAGCTAAAACTTCCAAAAGTGGAGCAATACATGGTAAACAGTGAACCGCATACTGAATTAGATTTGGCTTATCCGGTGCCACACATACTACGACCTTCGATAAATGTCGCAGTGTCCCCTAGCCGGGTTCTGAAAACCGTACTTTCAACGGTAAAGATGAAATTTAGAAGTAAGGTAGAATGCGTGTCTTGGATTAAGAAAAAAACCATGAGACAGAATACGAGCCAGATCGACTGTAGGTAACGCCTCTCGCTCTTGATTTTCACACTGAGCAGATTCTCGATCGTGTAGCCCTCTCCAAGCCTGAACGCTCCTCTGCATCTGAAACGCTGGATCCGTATAGAGTCGAGATCAGATACGCAGTAGATGGTGGACGGCAGCAGCAGCCGGAGCGAGGTACGCCTACCAGTCACTATGAACTGCTTTGTATCGCAGTGGACAATTGCACCTCTGCCCACAGCTAGGTTCGCCGCCCTCTACTACTGGTGTATTCCTTCCCACCTAGACTATGTCGTCAGTCTCTTTAACCCTGGAGACGTAGCCATTATAGTTACCACGTTGACATGTGCAACCCAACTCTCTTTACTCCTTTAAAGAGAAAGAAACATTCCGATAAACAATTTCTGAAAGCGACGTCTCATAATCCGCACACGGTTCTCAAAAAATGACATACTCGAAAGAAAAAATTCGAAATCCAGTACATTAGTCTCGAACACATACCTACCTGGCTGGATATGACGAAAACCGCGTACATCATCAATACAAAGGTATATCAGTACACAACCAACGCCCAAAAGCACCAACATCAGCCGTCTAAATTTTCTAAGAGTAAAAATGGGGAACGAATGAGGTCATAAGAGGTTTCTGGAGAAAATAGTTGTTTTCTGAATTAGAGTGCTTGAATTCACTGGTAGGACAAGACCTAACACCCTTGTCGAAAACGAAACGGCACGGAATAATACAGAAAACATTGGCAACGTGTTTTCTACGGAGCATTCACCACCCAGTTGTTTTTCTCCTTCTGAGTTGTTATCGACACTTAGGGTCCATTTCAAACCGGAACTTTGAGAGTAAAGTTTCTCTGTCAGATGATAAAATCAAATAATTGTTCTATCTAGCCTATACAGCCTATACAGCTGATTCAATTCAAGGACAATCTTGAAGGCTTTTTCAAATTTTGATTTCAAGTACAAGATACACTGAAAATCGCCCATTCGAATGAAAGCGAAGAGCGGGTTCGGCCAGCCATTTTTAGGGGGGCGAAGGTTCGTAGTTCAGTACTTCAAAAGTACGCTTTCTAATCTATATAAATAGCCCCAAAAAAAATCGCTTAAGTGATGTATGTCTTTTACCGAGAACAACGCAGATCAATTGAGGGGGTAAAAGCAATCGATAATGAGTTTGTGGATTCTAAATTCACCAAAAATGAAAAAAAAACCGAAGCAAGCTGCCGATCAGCAAGTATTTCCTTTTTCTCCCAAAATGGAGGACGGGGCGACGAGTGTCCGAATTCGCTTGCTCCATAGCTCCACTAACCCGCCTGTATTTGAATCAGCTGCTGCGCCCATACCAAGCAGTTGGCCTCAACAACTGTCCCTATCGTGTTCTCCATCTGCTGGCGTATCCACGCCGAGGCCATCGTTCTGTTCCTGGTCTTGAATATGTGCATAGTTAGGACGATGCTTCCGCCCTCATCGGACCCACTGTCCGTTCCAAAACCCATCCTTCCAGGCATGGCGACTACATATCGACGAAGTTTGCTTCGGCGTCCGAACAATTATCCGGTTTCGCCGCTTCAGACGGTCAGAATCGATCTCTACGGAAGAGTTCCAGCAGCTTCATTGGTTATATCCAGTGTCAAGAGCCTCTCAGTGCTTGTCCTCCGTAAAGTGAAGGCACTTTGCAAATTGCACTCGGAATGGTCTTCTAGCAGAAAAAAGCTTGCACTTGCGCTGTTCTTAGTCTTCAGGACGTTGAAGTCGCAATCACTGTAGATAACATTACCACACTTCTCAAGGTCATCTTCATTGAATGTGTCCGAGCTATCCGTTAAGGTTGTTGAAGGAGTTGCTGTGACGAACCTTGTCATGCCCTTACCCTCTAAAGCTGGTACGACTGGACCTGCAGCACCAGCTTCCGCTGGTGGTGATATCTCTGCTGCTGTTGAAGTTGCAACAGCTGCTGGGGCTGAGAAGAAGGAGGAGGTCAAGAAGGAGTCTGACAAGGATGTCGGATTGAGTTCTGTTCAAGCCTCCGAAATTGGAATATGAATTATTCGGGTTACGTTTCGGCGCACTCACTTCTTTGGAGCCTGCAAATCGAAGCATATTTTCGGAACAATTCATCATTCAATCGCTCGATCGAAAAATTTTTTTGATCAAGCGCTTGAAGTTGTTGATTCGTTCCCATTCTACCTAATTTCTGACTCGGAGCCGCCAGCAACGTCACTCAACTGCTTGACGTTAAACATGGGACTGCGCCTGCAAACACTTGATGGCAGGGAGCGCTTTCCGCTCCCATTGTGTTGCCTTATGAGTACCATCCTCTATGGATGGTACTACAGCCTTTGAAATCCTTTTTTACTCAATCCTACTGCAAATTCGAAGTCTGCCACTCACAAAGAAAAACCCTTCAACGCTCAATTCAACGCTATCCACTCCGCCGCTATCAACCTACGGTCGCTCACATCCGGAAGCAACCTCCCACCGTCGGGTACCCCCAGGAGGCCCGTCGCGCGGCAAGAAGGCAAAGTCAGCGGACGAGTCGCGCGCGTACTATAGGGATTTCGCGTCAAGTTAAATATGTCCCATTGCACGTCCTACATCGCACATCACGCGCTGCAACTCGTCCGCCGACTCTGCCTTCTTGCCGCGCGACGGGCCTCCTGGGGGTACCTCCCCAGTCAAGACCTTCTCCTTAGGCTCCACAATGATCGAATGTAGTGCTAACAAAAAAGGCGTGATTTTAGCCGTTCGTTCCGCTTGTCCTTTCCATCTTCACGTTCGCATCCCACTATCCGCATCCGCATTTCATGTGGCACGGGTCGCGATCGGAACAGGGTATTTTCGAGCTTTGCAGAGCGAGTGCAGAGTTGCTAAGTGGAACACCAGTTGAAAAAAATGGGAAGAAACCATTAACATGGCCTGAAAAAATTTCGTCCCCAGATGAAGCGAAGGGGCACGTTTGGGGAGAAGACGTATCTGAACGAGTTTCTTGGAGATGCTAGCCATTGGCTTCTCACCATCCACAAAATCAACATCTTACCCAATTAATTTGCCTATGCCTGCCTTGTGCTTTCCTCGGTCGGCGGTTACAGCCTATGCAGCCCCAAATATTAGCCCGGGCGCGTTGTTACGCGCGGTTTCGAGTCACGAGCAGGGCATCACCTCTGGGGTGTCCCAATAGGCCCATCGCGTAGCGAACCGCATAACCTGACGCCTAACCGCTACAGTATGCGCTGCGACTCGTCCTTTGCCGCGTCTGCGTCTCTTCCTTTGCCGCGCGATGGGCCTCTTAGGGGACACCCTTCATCTCTGTAGTCGGAGATCCGGCCACACTATTGATGGAGAAGATTCGACCGTCTGGTCCTAACCCGCGCCTTCAAAAGAATAACGGCTAGGATGGCATGGAAACCCATCGGAACAACCTAATTCAGTTTTTTAAAATCTTCAACTCTTCAAAAGTAGCATTCATAGAGCGTCGCTTGTTTACTGAAAATTGATATGTACAACTCTTATTAGTACTTCATAGTACGCATTCGCAAGTAAAGAGTTAAAGAAAACATAGAAACTGCATGGCATAATCAAAAATCGATAATCGATCGGAGATGAGTACGAAATCTGTACATCTTAGAGTTTCAATTAAAAACGATTCCACAAACGACGTATTCTGACAAAATTCAAGAAAGTGTAAAAGCTGATGAATTCACAAGAAGCTTGAAGTCCTTCTGAACAAATGAGACTTCAATATTTGAGAAGTTCCAAAATAATATTGAAATTTTTTGGTCGATGCATCATTCCGATTGGTGTGGTGGTTTTCAAATCTATTGGAGCTTCAGGATCCTCCACGAATGTCGTAGCGTGAGATCATGTTGGCCAGAATCTAAAAATGGGAATCAGTACCAATACATGAAAAACTCGCCACCCAATAATGAAATTTAGGTTTTCATCGGTAACCCGCCTATACCCGTATTTGATGCTTTTTTTGACTGGATTTTTTGTGGATTGTGAAATTTGCGCGGCTGTGGAAGTCCCGCCCACAACTCAGCATTCTTCTGCAAGTTTTTGGTCGATGCCCATTCCGATTGGCATTGGCGTGCTGCTCCTCAAAACAACAACCCCACATGAGATCGTGTCGAATAATATAATCTATGGGTAGGATATAGTAGCCAGCGAGTATCACAGCTGTGCCGTTGTCGCGGCTCTAAATGCGCGACAATGGCGCTAGGGCCTTACAAAGTGAGCTAATGACGGCTAATGTGAGCTAATGGACGAGATACCTCGCGCACACCCCATGACACGCAACGTGGATTACGACGTAGCGGCTAATTCAAATACGCGTGGTTAGTGGAGCCGTGGAGCAAGCAAGTTCAGACAACTCGTCCGGGCACGCCCATCCCTCATTTCGATGAAGATCGATTGGAGCTGTTTCTTGGGACTTTTATATTATACATAGCTGCTTTAGAATTTTATATTCTGGCCAACTTGGGCATCCGCTAGATATTTGAGAGGATTTCTAAGGGGATAACTGCTATCCCGCTGCAGTGCTATGAGAGCATGGAAGCTCGAGAGAACCGTCGTAAAATCTTCTGTAATTTGTTGTTTGCATTCTCTTTGCACGGTTCAGCAAGTGAAGCGCACGCCCTCGTCAAATTTACTCACGGATGCGCCAGGACAGCTAGGGATATCATGTCGCGATAACTCCATGATTTTGTGAACAGGCTATTGATCTGCTAACTGCTGGTCCTGGTACTCCCCCACCCCCCCCCCCTCTTACACCAGGCCAAGAATTACCTCTTACTTGAGAATTTTCAGACGCGTGCTTGTCTATGATTCATGCAAAAGAGACTGTAATAATTTCCACAAAAAATTTTTATATTCGAGCATTTAGATCAAGGAAAAATGAAAACCTAAGGATTAGAAGGCTCGAAATTAATAGTTTTGAGAACGCGTCCTTCCTCGGTCATTTGAGGCCATGAAGCTGTGTGAATGAGTCCTTTGACAGCCCAATGATCTACGTGGGAAAGAGATCTATACTCTGAGATATGCATGTGATGGGAAAAACTTGATAACGAGCTTCTCGAAAATCCAAATTTGTGCCTTTTCTGACTGTTCACATGACCACTGACTGACTAATTTTTCTGACTATTTCCACTAGTCAAAAAGGCACGGGTCACACTTATTTTCGCATGGCGAATCTAGTAGAGTGAGACTAACCAAGTATATTTCCGCTTTTGCCAGCGTCTCACCGATACACGACCGTTTCCCGATACCGAATGGAATTATTCGTTGTTCTAGAGCTTTTCCTCCTTCCTTCATATCGTCCAGGATCGAACTGAAAATTCATGAGACGTTGTGGGAGATCAAATGGTTGGCCTTGCAAAGATTGCACCAATGAACAAAAGACGAGTAAATCTCTAAACAGGATAGGAACCCATGCTGGAGCGGATATACTGATCGCTTGTGCCGGATTTTTAAACGAAAGCTGAGGAGGAGCAGTGTCAGCTAGGGTAAACCGTGGTATCCGATAGACTCCAAAAACTTTTACGATCCACCACCTACCTTTGTCAACCCCAATTACGACTCCCCTCCCCAGAATCGCAAACTACCGCCATTGCCGGTCCCAAGCCCGGATGAGAAAGGAGGAGGGTTGGCGCGAAGGGCTAGCAACCCTTCCGCTGTAAAAAATTCTTGATGCTACAGAAACGACGAATACATATAATATTGCTGAATTGAGGAGATCGGGTTTCAGCCTTGTGACGGATGCCCCGATTCTGAATTCGGTCTTCTCACCCAAAAACAAAACTTACATTGGCACATGGAACGTTCGTACACTGAACAGAACTGGCAACCTCGCGCAACTACTTCGTGAATTTGACAACTATCGACTCGATATATTGGGAATAAGTGAAGTTCGCTGGAAGGGTAATGGCAGAATAAACAGTGACAACAGAACGATCCTGTATTCCGGCCACGAAGACAAACACGAAGGAGGAGTCGGTTTTGTCCTGAACAAAAAGGCAACCAACGCTCTTAACGGATGGAAACCAATAAATGAAAGGATAATTACAGCTCGATTCGTGACAAGACATACTCGAATTACGATCATACAGGTGTATGCACCAACGGAAGCTGCAGACGAAGAAGTGAAAAATGATTTCTACGAGCAACTCCAAGAAACCATCGATGAATCACCGCGAAGAGATCTGAAGATAATAATTGGAGATTTCAATGCTCAGCTTGGCAATGACAGAAGCGCATTTGAGAAAACGATCGGACCTTTCACATCTGCTGAGCATTTCAGTAACAATGGCGAAAGACTAGCTTCCTTTTGTGATTACAATGAACTCTGCATAGGAAACACATACTTCCAACACAAAAGGATACACAAGAAAACTTGGAGGTCACCTGATGGTGTAACTTTCAATGAAATCGACCATATTTGCATCAGTCGCAGATGGAGAACCTCTCTTCAAGACGCTCGCACATTCAGAGGAGCAGACATAGGTTCAGATCACTATTTGATGAAAGCTGTGATCAAGCTAAAACTGAAACAGCAGACAAAGAAACAGGTCAATCGCACATTCGCTGTGGATAGGTTAAGAGATCCAGCCGTTGCAGACAGGTTCAAGGTTGAATTACGCAATCGTTTCGAACCCCTTAGAGATGTGAGGAATATCGGGAATATTGAAGATGAGTGGAAATTCATGAAAGATAATATCCAAACATGCGCAGAACAAGTGATTGGCCGCAAACGTGGCAAAAGAAAGGAACAGTGGATCCAAGATCGGACATGGCAGAAAATAGATGAACGGAAAGCGTTGAAACTCAAGAGAGACCAAGCCAGAACACAAGAGGAGAAAGAAGAAGCAAGCCGGAAATATATGGAAGTAGATCGTTTTGTCAAGAAGTCTTGTCGTCGTGATAAAAAAGAGTATCTCATACAAAAAGGAATTGAAGCTCAACAAGCAGCAGATCGTGGCGACACGAAAACCCTTTATCGCATTGTGAATGAGCTGACAGGAAGGCCAAATCCATCAAATGTTCCTATTCGAGATAAAAATGGAAAACTTCTGCTAAGTGATGAAGAACAAAACGATAGGTGGCTCGAGCACTTTCAAAACGTGCTAAACCAACCCAGTCCAACAAAGACCTATTGTTTCGATGAGATAGATTCAGCAGAAGAGCTCGACGTGAACACTGGAGACATAACTACTGAAGAAGCTATTTAACACTTCTACTAGAGGCCTTTCGTAGATCAAGAAATTGCTCCGATAATTGGATGTGGTCATGCTAGTGTCGTAGGAATTATGAAAGCGGGTGGTCTGAACTATACTAAATTGAATTGTTTACCGCATTATACTAATCTTTGTTCAATTGCCGGTGTCTGGGATCATTTAGAAGAATGTCCCGAGTAGTGACTTGAGAAATAGTATGAGCATTGGTAGACTGGCTCTTAAATAATAAGTGTAGATTTGTCTCGAATTTTGCGGGATAATTTTGATGGAGGTTCATTTGTTAACGTTTTGTTTGCACTTTCATACCTTTTTTTTGGGAATACGTTGTTTCTTGAATATCTGTACTTATTCGTTTAAGACTTCAATCGCCGTTGATTCGACACGTGTTATCGTTAGAGTAGTAGCAAAGCAGTTTTGATGTTTAGGTAATTTGGGTGAGATCATTTTTTGAGTCAATATCTTTCACTTGCCTGTCTCATGTATTATTAATATTGTCGAACAGTGCATTAGAATACCATCATCCCCTTCTTATCAACTTCATCGATTTCAAGAAGGCATTTGATAGCATCCATCGTGATTCACTGTGGAAAATTCTTAGAATATACGGGATACCATCGCGCTTCATCAGCATCTTCAAGAACTTATACCTGAACTCCTCGTGTTGCGTAAGAACAAATAATGGCCACACAAACTTCTTTGAAATCACCACAGGAGTACGACAGGGATGTATTCTGTCTCCATTGTTGTTCAATATATGTCTGGACTTTATCATGCGAAAAGCGATGAGACGAACAGAAACAGGATTGAGCTGGTCCAACGGGGAACGCTTGTCAGACTTGGATTTTGCGGACGACATTGCGCTTCTTGCGCAAGAAGAACGTGAGCTTCAAGAAGCAACTACGAGCCTGAACAGTGAAGCAACAATGATCGGCTTGCGCATCAGCGCCGAAAAATCGAAAGTCATGAACATTGGCCCCAATGATGTGCAAACGGTCATCAATGTTGATGCAAAACAATTGGAGACTGTGGGAAAATTCACTTATCTTGGAAGTGTAGTTGCTTGTGATGGAGATGCAGAAACAGATGCACGGATACGAATAGCAAAAGCAGCAACTGTATTTCAACGACTTCAGCCAGTATGGGCAATGACTTCCATTTCACACAACATCAAGATACGCCTATACCAATCAATCGTGATTTCCACCGCGTTGTATGCAAGTGAGACATGGAAAATAACTGCTGGACTCGTTAAGAAAATAAATGCCTTTCATCAGCGTTGCCTTCGCCGAATCATGAAAATACGGTATACAGCCCACATCACTAATCAGGAAGTCCTGAGCCGCACAGGTATGAGCAGCCTCCACGTGGTTGTGGCACGGCGCAGACTCCGACTGGCTGGACATATTCTACGTATGCCTCAACATCGTATTCCACGAAGGGCCATGTACTGGATTCCTCCAGGAGCCAGAAGAGCAAGAGGCCGTCCCAGAAACACGTGGAGACGAACATTCGATAATGATCTAAAGATCATGGATGTTTCTAGGGACGAAGGTGAAATACTTGCGCAAAATCGTCAGCAATGGAAAGAATTCGTCGCCACGTTCGCTCATACAACGCACGGAGATACTAAATCACAGTAGTAATTCCCTAAATCGCATATAGTTCCTCATCTGGGTCGGTTTGCGGAAGTTGATACTGATGCCAGCGCCCATCTTCTGATGTCACTGGAGCACCTCACTCACTTTCCTAGCAAAAATATGCATTTGGAGGTAACTTTAGCGGTCCATTGGAAGCTCTGATGACAAGACTGCCATCCTCGTTCAAAATGATAGTTCCTGAAATATACTTCTATTTTATTTGGAAGTTACCTTGATGGGATCTTTGAAGTATTTCTCTTCACTCATGATCAGTGACAGTTCAGCAGCGATGGCGGTGCCTTTAGGAACGAAGTATCCTCCAACCTTTCGGCCCTCATTGGTACGACGCCACAGATTCAAATTCAATATAGACGCCACTCTTTGGATTTCCTGAACAAATCGAATAACACAATGCAATGTAAAGGAAGACTTGCTCAAACAGCGAACTCTATTCGAGGAGGATTCCACGATAAGAATGAAGCTCATAGAAGAGAGAAATTGCCTAGTGGGAGACAGGCGGACCTCCTGAGGGTGCGACCGACGCGCAATTGGGCAGATTTGACCTTCGGCGATCTAGCATGGCTCACTCTTGGCGCAGTTGGCGCGGTACGCCCACCGACATAGCAGAGAGAGCGTTAGCGATGAGAGTCGCATCAATGCGGAAATCAACGGGCAAGGAAGGGGTCCCATTTCTCGGGTTCTGGGCCGTTTCTCATGGTTTTTCCTTCTTTCACTTATCACTGTTGATTTGAAATGGGTTGCCTTCTCAGTGTATCTGCCTTTCATTGTCCTGTACCCTTTATGTACAGATCTATATTCTTCTTCTTCTCCCTAGCGTTAGTCCCGCGCAGTCGCAGGGTCCGCTGTTTTTGTCAGTCGTCGCCACTTTGCTCTTTTCAGCATCTTCTGTGACTTTCCGACCTGTCAACCTGGGCCTGACGCTGGTACTAGAACCATTTTTGCAATTTTTGCAAGGCATGGTTTCGAGCCTCGGCAGGGATCGAACTCGCGGTTTTCGGAGGTGCAGACATGAGTCTAACCTCTTAACCACTCGGCTATCCCTGCCTCTATTTACAGATCTATCATCATTACAAATGGGCTTGTCCGTGCTACACGCATTAAGACGGAAACGGTAAGGAGAAAAGGAAGGCAAATGAAGTGCTCAACCTTGGAACGCTCGAAAAATAATTATCATTGAGACTAGACGAATGTGAATAATTTCCTATAGAGATCCACTTCGGGATAAAAGAAGCTTACCAGTACGGTCCAGTTCAGGTAAGGAGTATGGTTCCTTTGTCGGATAAAGAAACAGAACGGTTGCCACCGGTGACCACATTCAACTCAGCTCGAATCTTCTCTATGACCTGGAATCGAGTATGTTTGCATCAACTAATTGTCGCTCTCTCCCTATGTATAGCCCATGCTTTTTCAAGTTTTGTGTACGAATTTCAGAGAACGACTGATTCTAAAAAAAACTCCTTTAACATTGGACCAACCTTATTTGTAGACAAAATCAGTGCAGGTAGGAAAATCTGTATTCTTCAATCGATTTCAGAAACATTGAAACTTTCAGGCTAGCACGTACCAACACGTGAAGACATCATGGCACCATACAGTATCACACCTCGCAGGACATTTGGGACAGCGCGATACTTTTCGGTACCACGCCATGTTCCTTATTTTTTCCTCATGCAGGAATTCATTCTTCAGGATAAATAATCGAAAAAACGCTCACAGAGGGGTTCTTTATCAAGTGCATGAGTCCCCACAATACTGTAATCGCCGTTGTTTCTTGACCAGCAATCCATAAGTCGAAAACATCGTACAGTAGCTCGTCTTCCCTGAATTTCATTCTATTATTTTCTAATGGTCTTTGGGAATTTTGTGTACCGCTTCGATCATTCATTGAATATGTATGTTAGCTCGCGCATGCTGGAAAAGCAGTCCTTACAAGTGGCGTAGCCACTATACGCATACTGAACAGCTTAGATTTTGGACCGAGTCTCGCCTAGACCGACCAATCCCGCCACACTTCTGGGTTTGCTCACTTGAACTTGGCTTCCGGACAGAAACACTTATCTGTACCCCGGCGGACGCTACCTTCTCGATGTCCATTCATAAATTCACACGGACGTAGTGTGTAGTCAAATGGCGCCACTTGCTACGCGCAAGCCGGGGGTCAAATCTCTCACTGAATTTCGCCTATGTAGACTAACCCTTTCTTCCCTCCGGAGTTGATGGAATGATACGGATAAAAACAGTGACTGAAAACTTGCAAGGCATATAGCCAGATTATTCAAAACCCCGACCTTGGTTCTGATTTGAAGTAGAATGCGTGGCGAATCCCAAAAAGGTAACTTTCGCCGCTAAAGGCTTCTTTTATCCTTTCTGTGCAATTCCTATAGACGTGGTGCGCGTTGATTTAATTATAGCGGTTCGCTCTCCTGCTTCTCGAATTTGGGTCCAGAAAAAGCAGCCAAACAAGATGGCTGGGATGGTTTGAGTTGAGTGCGATCTACACACTGCGTACGTGGCACGGGATTCCTCCATGTCCTGCAATACATTACTAACTTGTACGATTGGGTTGGATGTCGTCCTTCTCTTCCGGTCTTTCTCCATTTTTATCAAAAGGCGTCAACAAAATCATTACCATCTCCATCCAGAGAATGCTTACCCGATGCGATATCTTCCTTTCTGCAACAAGAAATTTGTTGATTAATTACTAAATGAGTGCTCATAAAACTATAACAGGTTAGCCAACCTCTGTTGGATCCTTTTCTGAAGAAACTCCAAAAGTTTCTCTTGAGGTTGCGATAAGCTTTCTCCACTTGTTTTTGAATAATGGTAAGTTGAGCGTCCACTTTTCCAGCGACATACCAAAAGGCTGTCACACTCAATATTTCTTTATCCAATGCATGTTTAACTTCGAAGAATTCGGCAGCATTTTCCTGTAAGCATAATTTTGAAATATCCTTCAAAATCACCACTAACACTGAGAAGCACCAAGAAAAATGGGATGAAATGTGCGTCAAACGGTGACATACTCGGCTATAAGGAGCAGAAAAGCGCCGCAACACATGGTGGCGCATGCTGTGAGACCGATGTCAGACTTTGCGAATCGAGTTATTCGCTGTACGCGACGCGACCGCGGACGCTAGCAAGTCTCTGATCGATCTATTCGCAAAGTCTAACATCGGCCCAGGAAACGAAGAACGTCCACCGAGCGGAGCTGTGAGTAATGTATAAGATTGGCACATTATTTCTAAGCCCCTCTGCTATATTGCAGTAAAAATCACAATTTTGTAGCAAATCAAGGTTTAAGATCATCAAACTTCGAAAATACCTTGCAACATAGCATAAACTTCGGGCATTTTGAAAACCCAGTTGTTTCGCTTATCCGTTGATTCTCATAATGAAGACGAGAGTCGTTCAAATTCCCTTTCTAGCCTCTTCTCTAATGACTGTCGGTTAGGGTCTCCCCAACAATTAGATAATCTGGGGGATCAGTCAGAAGATAAGCGCAGGCTACGTTCTCTCAACCCACTGTAAACCGGTGGTTCACTGGATTCCTTTTTCACTTGAAGGTGATCCATACACTAACCACACCGTTATTATCTCTGTGTTTCACCTGATACGACTGAAAAGGGAACTAGATAGACTATCCACTATTTGCCAGCCTCCATCACCCCACTCCCCCCCCCCCTCCAAAAGCCACTTCAGACAATGGTCAACCGTGCCCTCCACTATTCGAACGAGGGGTTACATTTGTGGTTGATTTTCGGAAGTGGGGGTCTCATTCAAAGGTTGAGAGGGCTTCCCTCCTCCCCCGCTAGACGCCACTGTGGCGAGGGTGGTGGCAGGGTCAACCGTCCGTTCGAACTGTTCGAACGAAGGGGTCGCATTTTGGTCGGAAGGGGGTCGCAATTTCGAGGACTGCCAGCCACAGGCGCGTGCGTGGCGTATCCGAGGGCAAGAATTGCTTGTGCAGACCGCATTAGATTCGATTTATTATGCACAGAGAGACAGTTTTAGGCAAATTACGGTGTTTTCCTTGAGGAATAAAGAACAGTTGAATGCATCCCTATGAAAGGTTTGACTTCTCGGGGCTGAAATTAAAGTTCTTCGGGACCTAATTTTCTGAGGACGATTCTTCCAGACAACGGTAAAACACATAAGAAAGCAGAAATCTCGTAGTCTTCAAAAATGTCTTCGCCCCTCCCCAACAAGTTCTTTGAAGGAAGTTATTATTGCTGAAAGCTCAAAAACTCGCATGTGCTGCTCAAAAACCTATGGGAACAAAATGTTCGAACGTGTGATTTTCTCGAAAAATGAACTTTGAAAAACGGTTTGGTGCTTGTTAGAAAGAGCAAATCCTGTACTTTCACCCCATGAAAAAAGTGCATCACAGAAATGAAAATGAAGTGAGTTATGGTCGCTGAAAGCCCAAAAACTCGCTTTTGCACGAAAAATGTTCGAACGGGACAATTTTTTGAAAAAGGGGACAATCACTAAACTTTTTATACTTTTTGTTAGAGAAATATTTGAAGTTTCTGAAACTTTTACAGATTTCCAAAATGTCGCATACGAAAGATTTTATGGGCCTTCAAAGTTGAAGGTGCGCCTTCTCAGAATTTTGGGTTTTCCACTTCTAACAGAAGTACTTTCCGGAGAGTTAGGCAATCCTTGTAGTTTTCTGAAAGCGCACCTCAGGCACAATCAAAATCTACCTCAACAAGTCAAAAAATACGTCCCAAGAAAGTTATTCCCCTCTAAAATTTTTTCTTCGCCGCGTCCCGTTCTTCCAGCGCCCGGGTGATACCTGCCGCGCTCCAAGGCCGACGCGACGACGCGCAGACGCTTTCTGGCGCAACGGATTCATGTCTAGCACTCTTATTAACAAAAACAGGGGGTCGCAACTGGACCCCCTCGAGAGCTAGGGGGTCGCAAAAATCCCGAAAATGTTCGAACGTGACGGTTGACCCTGGTGGTGGAGGAGGAGGGAGGGTGTCGCGAACTTTCTGAAAAAAGTGCGAAGGTTATGGTTGACCTTGCTTCGAATGGAATGAGCTCAGAATTTTGGCAAGTTTATCACATCTCTGGTAGTATTTTACTGATTTCTGCGAGATTAGATGAGTTCCATAGAAGTTCTCGGATTTTGCGATATTTGGGGGGGGGGGGAATTTCGCAACTTCCAACGAAAAATTGCGACCATTCTAACGAGAAATCCACGACCTTCTAAGCCTTTCGGTTTTTCAACTGGCAAACGTACCTTTGTGAAACGCTCAGAGAGAGGATTCGATTGATGACACTGCCAACGAGAACATCAAAAAATTCTCCCGCATTTATCGTTGCCTTTCCATCCGTCATGCTTTTTTCCAATTCACCAAAGCTGAATTTTTTGATTAAGTTGGACTTTTTTCACAAACAACAAAATGCACCGACTTCTGGTGGAACTCATCCATTACTCTCTGCTCCATGAGGTTCCTCTTCAAGGCAAAATCGCGTAACGTTCGTAAAGAGAAACGACGATGATCAGCCCAAAAATCGCCGCTCGAGAACACCGTACCCCGTCCTTCTGAAGCCTCACTCATAGTAAATTATAGTAAAGCAGAATAAAATAATTTCCGTACCTCGTTTAATATTAAGAACATACGGTGTGTATCGGTCCACATAAGCGGCACCGTTGACGATCATTTCCTCTTTAGCTGTCTCGAAGTCCAGAATATGAACTGTTGGTATTGGTCCAAACCAAAATGTGATGACGTCACCGTATTCCTTAACGATCACAAGCCTTTTTAAAACTCGTCATCCACCAGTTGCTATTTATTCTTGTTTTCTATGACTCAAAGAATGGATTTTTCCGCTCTAGCGGTGATTCTACAAAGTTGGGTTACGGCTACATTTTCCAAGAAAAGTGGGCAACAGCAACAACATCCCTGAGGCTCATTAGGCCGCGTTCATAGTTCGCGACTCCGGAGATTAGGATAGTACGCGACAATGAAAAACATATGTATTGACGGGAGATTAGGATAGTAGTAGAGTAGGAGATTGCGCTGACAAGATTAGATACGTATCGATTGAAATCGCTGGAGAGTAGTAGATTGCGATATTACGATAGTAGGATAGTAGTAGAGTAGGAGTAGGATAGTAGTAGAGTAGGAGATTAGGATAGTAGTAGATTAGGATAGTGCGCTGACAAGATTAGATATGTATTGATCTATTCGCTTGAAGTCGCCCAATCTACTACTCTCCAGCGATTTCAATCGATACGTATCCAATCTTGTCAGCGCAATCTCCTACTCTACTACTATCCTAATATCCTGTCGCCTACTATCCTAATCTCCCGAGTCGCGAACTATGAACGCGGCCTTAGAGGGCTTCTCAAGAGTTGAATACGTGTTCGAATCGCTCATCACCGCAGCGGTAGGCGAAAGTAGTCGATTTTTTTCCAT